TAAAGTACTTAAAGTAAAATTTATATGAGATTTATCAAGCTAAAAAAACGATAACAATTACCATTGTATACATTATCTGTGCGTTCCTGTTATTACTCAAACTCTCGTAATTATTAGTCACTTTCAGCTGACTCAGATATTTACAGCTCCGACATCAGTTCTTGTGTTATAGTATAGTTGGATTCTCAATGTTTAGGTATATTATCTTTAAACGTTTTATTCGCGAGATACCTGTATTAAATAATGAAATTTATCATAAATTAATTTTATTCTTTAAGATGATAAATGGATTTCTCCTGAATATCTGTGTAATCTTGTTTCCTAATACAGTAGATGAAACAAGTCAGTATTAATCTTCGTAACTCAACAAATCTCCAAAAGTTATACATACAAGAACTTCTCTATAAAGCTAATTCTTTTTTGTACTTCAACATTAAAAGAATGGAATGAGTACCACTCAATGTAAGAAATGCAAACTCATTTTAAAACAACTTTAAGTCTCTCCTAAATCAGGGAAGTAGCAAAAGCAATTCGTTTTCTATTACGGTGACAGGAAATATCAAATACTTCACTCGCGACTCCGGAGAAATTGGCAGCTCTCTCAATCAACATTTATTTTTAAAAGAATATTGTTCAATCGCCCCTTTGTCAGTGTGGTAAAATTGAGTCAACCTACCATTATTTTTTATGAATGTCAAAGATTTGATAACATAAGATGTATTCTGTTTAATACAGTATCAAATATTATAGCTCCTTCATTAGAGATCATTCTTGTTCGGAACGGAATCCAAATCAATTGAAGCAAATGAGATTAAATTTTCTGCAGTTCATAAATATATCAAACTAAGTAAGAGGTTCGAAACATGATTTCATTAATACATTTTTGTACTCATTATCACAGGTCGTTTTTTTTTTACCATTAAATTTGTTATTCTCCAGAACCAGCCAAAGCAAGTCAGTTTCTTAATGTGCTAGGATAACGTTATATTTACAACTAATTTCCCCCAATTTATTATATATGTCTGAATATGTATGTATCTTTAAGGTTTTTTTTTCTAACATATGTATATCTAATATATGTATATGAATTCATACACATTGTCTCAGTAGATTGATGCCATCACTTTTGTTGTAATTTCAAAATAGAGTCGGAGAAGAACTATATTAAGATTTTATATCTTTCGTTCTAATCCATTTCATCATTGTATATATTGAATGATTGTATATTATGAACTGTGTATGATTATGAATAAAATATGTTTAAACTAAATAATAAAATTAATAATATTACTATACATATTTGCATATAACGTGTACTTTAAGAATTAGGTAAAGATGCAAGTAACAGCCGACATAATAAACTTCATAGTTCAAAATTAACAATTAAATAATAATTAAATAGCAACAATAACATCATGTTTATTATCATTATTATTAAAATTCACAAGTAAAGATAATTTTGTTTTGTACATTAAGAACACATGCACATATTGTATAGAGAATTAAATTAGTGAATACGTTCACCTTCTTCTAGATAGGTAAAACAATACAGCAAATACTACTATGGCAGCCACAAGATCCAAATCCAGAGAAATAACCAATGGTTAAATAATTGAGCTTTATCGTCACGTCGCACAAATGTTTCTTGTTGTCTAACAGTTTCGGCTGACATTGTTGTTGTTGTTACTGATATTTCTGATAGATATAACATTGACTTGTAATAAACATCATCATAACAACGCTCTTATTGATTACTGGCACAATTTTCTTGTCATAAACTGCACAAACAGTCTTTTAAGATCAAACACAGCCCCTCGAGACAGGGTTTTATGGTGAAAAAAATATTATCATATATCTATGTTTGCTATGAGTTTTATTCAGTGCAAATGGCTAAGGTAAAGTACTATGATTTTTGTAACCTGCAATAAGTTTAAACATTCGTACGTATAAACTAAAACCTACGTACATGATAGTAACCAAAATCTTAAGTAATACTAACAAGTTTAAACAAGACGAAGTATTTCTAATATTCCTTTAATGCCAGCGAAAGAAAGGGCAAATTATTTCATTTATTAATTTATTGTGATAATGAATTTGATTTAATCCAAATGAGTCACTTATATATTTAATAACTTATTTTGAAATAAATTCATCATGACCTATACTGTGTCGATGTGACGTAAAACCCAAAACAAACAAACATCATAGAAATCATATGCACACTGTTTACCGATTATATTTTTATTTGAGTACAAAACCATCGCCGGTCAAGTTCCATCCTTACATCCATTCTGTACATGTACCGTTGTTTCTATCACATTTAAGATCTTAACATCCACTAGGACAATGTTTCTCGCATGTATCGTCCCAAAATGATTGGTTACATTCGTTCAAACAATATCCGTCTGTCTGTTCACATGTACGTTTATCATTTATCAATATGCATGCAGGATTGCATTCTAAACTGCAATCGGTTGAGTAAAAATTACCTTTACACAGTAGACAACCATTTGCGTTATCTTTTGGGCACTTAAAACACTTGCTGTTACATGTTTCTGAACATTTTTCACCTGTCCAACTCGCATTACATTCTCCTTGACATATTCCAGTACTATCACAATCCGTAGAACATTCTTGTGAGCAGGATGATGTGTGTGACCCGCAAGTTTTACCATTAAATATTTGTCCTTCTGGACAATCAGCGCAGACTAACGAATCAATGTGTACTTGACACTTATTACAACCTTCAATAAAACAGTCTGGACATTGCGTGTCTTGGAAACATGAAACACAGTGAACGTTGTTATTAAACTTAAAGAGATGAAAACCATGATTTTTTGCAAATATAACACGTTTTTCCATCCCTACAATGTTTACAATTTGACTGACATGTTTGACATAGTGTATCGACATCGCTCTTATACTCATAATATCCAGCTCTACAACCACTTGAGCATTTACGTAAATCACAACGTTCATCGGCATATAAACTACAGTTATGTTGACATTGAAATCCATAGAAACCAGGCTTACACTGAGTACAATATCCAGTATCACCATCGCATTCACTATTTAGACAATTACCATCACAGTTGAAAGTACATCTTCCTTGCAAACTAAACTTTTACGGCTTACATGACGTACAGTAATCCCAGCTGTTACAACTTTCACAATCCTCGGGGCATGGCAAACAGAAGCCACTTGATAAATAGTAGGATGATTCACAACTTGTGCAAGTCGAACCAGAGCATGATTGGCAGCCAACATTACATTCTGTAAACATTTATATATTTCAACTATTTACATATGTTTAGATACATATATTACCATATATACAAAATAATAAAACAATTAAATCCTTATCCAGTTTAATAGACGTGACCATAAAACGAACTTAATGTTAATCTTTGTGTTCAACCGAATATGATTAATAATAGGCCAAGTGATTAAAGTTTTCAATATTTAATAATACATCTAAGGCAATAAAGAAAAAGTATTCCACAGTTAAAAATGTTATGAAATAGAACTACTTACCGGCAAATACCATATCAACAAACTCAACAAACAGTACTATTACCAATGCTGAAATTTCCTTCGTATCCATGTATGCAATCTAATCTAAAGAAAATAATTGTATAAATATTGATAATGGTGTGATTAACTTATTGAAATGTTTTCAAATGTAAAAGCATTTACTACACGATGCTGCGTTTATAATCTTCATTTTTGGGTATACTTTTACTTAAAAGATAAAATGACATTTATAGTATATTATTAGTCTCAGAAATTAATAATATGCATTGTAATAAAACAGTTTTAGACATTTTGAACGTCTAACATTAAGAATAAAGGTACTATTAAGCTTAAACAAAAGTAATGAGACTTTAAAATTATAAATTTTTAAAATGATAAAGAGTCAAAATGTTCTTACAATACCAATATCCTATCCGTTTTTCCCTATTAGTTAATTTAAAACAAAATAGCTTCTTTTTGAAATATTACTATACATTATGTAAACAACAATGGTGGTAATACATACCTATCTGTTTAATCATTAAAAAGAATAAAACTTGTTCAAAACTTCCTCTTTACATATTTGTGTATAGAATATAAAGTTTTGAATTGGATACAGTATGCATCAGTGACTTTCTATATTGGGATACTAAGTGTTTAGCGCTATTTTTTAGATGTATAATAATAATTTAAAAGGATTTATATGTTCGAATGCATTTACATGTTTTGAGATTTTTTAACGTCATGAATTTATTATCTTAGTATAATTAAGTATCTTCGCGCAATTGAAAAATCTACTCCACAAATTGAATTCAAGTATTCATGGAGCTGAATTTGTTAAAGAGTTGAAATTATGAAGTAATGAGGTTTAGGTCGCCAGACGGTATTTTGTTCATACCTGTATTTTAATAGGACCAATTACTACACTTCTCAACAAAAGAGTTTTAAATTTTTCTTTTGTAACTGTAGCGAAATTTATTATTTTAAAAAATTACTTAAATAATTCACTTTCGAGTCTGAATGAAATATCTTGTTTGCAAGATTTCCAGTTGCGCATCTATATTGAAACGGAATTTGTTTTATCATATAATTATATGTTTAAAACTACTTAAACATGTTCAATATGTTTAAAACTACTTAAACATGTTCAACAAATCTGTTTGGTCTGTGGGAACTATTGAGCCAATCCTTAATCAATAAATCAGCTTCATTTTGTAAAACTTATTTTACATTTTAGTCAGGTACATGTTTTAAAATGTTCAATTTTCGAGCTTCGATTTCCATTCTTATTCCGTCAAACTTCGTATAAGGATGTCGAACTACAGAGATAAGGTACATTTATATACGCTACAAACTAGAGACATGTTTATAAATAGTTAGTAAACGACTTTTTTATGATACCGAGCGTTGTTTCATTCACGATTGAGGCGTTACCTCGTAAAGACTGTCTCAGTAACGTTTTAACAGCTTATTCTAGTGTAATATGACACGATTAATTCGCTAATGGCTGAGATATACACGGTGCTTATTCATGTTTCGAATGATCCAAAATAGTAATGTCAACGATAAATAACACTATAGACTGTATACACCAAGAATAATTATGTTCATTAAGTGCATTAGTTTTAACTTCCGCTATGAACAATTACAATTGATAGAAATGCTGGTATTCCAAATACGTTGAAGAAAATTGAATCCCGTCAAATGTAGGCTTAAAATGTGAAATCAGTTCAGTATGGTGTTTTGAATAAACATCTTATACAATGTACCATATGTAGGTACATGCGAGAACTGAAAAAGAGTAAAAAGACTCAATGCGTTTATATGATATGTAGGAGTAGAGAAAATAATAATCTTTTAAACAGATTAAATTGTTAAATGTTGTAACCAAGTGTTCATACAAGTAGTAAAATTAGCGCAGGTTACTTCGTAAGTTCATTTGCTGCTAAGGACAAAACAAGTCGTTTATAATTCTCAAATGAAGCTAACTGTATTTACATACGATGGACATAATACCATGAAACAGTGATGCATAAAAGAGAACATGAATAAATAAAAAAGCTTTGGAAAGCACATTAAATTTTATACACCTATTACAGAATGCATGCACTTTGCAATTTACATCAGTAATCATGTAAAATTTTATTCAAACATAGCATTACAGTGAAATTAACCGCCAAAGTCCCATAGCACCGGCGTACGCAGAATTTAAACATTTAGACATGATAAAGGGTACAATTTTGAATTTAGAAACACCCGCAGATGTGTTCATAAGGCGGTTATCCGGGAACCTTCAATGCGACAAACTTTCGTGCCTTTCCATGAAAAGCGGCGTATGGTCCCCATGTAAACGAAATCATTAGAATCATTGAATCATTAGCTTTATTTGTAATTTAAAAAAAAAAAATGTAACAGTATCGAATATAAATCAGTGCCATCTGTGATATTGTTTGTTTGTTTTCCTGTTGTTATTACGCGGTCTATCCACCTAACTGGCTTTCTAGGATACACCGTGTAAATAAGGCTTGAATGAGCACCCCAGTTGTATTTTACACTGCAAAAAAGACATGGATATACGGAAGTGTACGGAATTCCGTATATCATTAATATACGTGTAAGAATACGGGAAACTTGACATACGGAGATGTACGGGACCGTATATTATATCAGTCCGTATATGACTAGTATACGAACTCCGTACACTCGTAATATACGGGAACTTTGATGTACGAAGTCCGTATTTTACTAATATACGGAATTTTTATAACAAGTCCGTATATTACTAAAATACGAAATTCCGTATTCGTGCAAATGCGGATTCTGTATATAGAAATAGCGAATGAAAATTTACTTCTGAATAGCCTATATCCTGTAAGAGTAAAGAAATAGTCTGATCAGGTATTTTTGTCAGACATTTGACAATTAACACAATGCAAAATTTCTTGGAGCTATTAACGCGTCAATTGCGTACAAATAATATCGTCAGTGCAGAGAACTTGTAAGACATCCACCTGTAACATGCAGACGCGGTATTCTATCTCAATACCGCTTGGTTTGCTTTTTAGCATACACCCGCAAATAAATAGCGAATACTCTACAATTGCGATTGACGATTAGATAGTACTGTTTTGCATTTTGCATCTATGGTGAATCATGTTATTTTGTAATTTCCTTTTCATTATCATTATAATATTTTATAATGATAAGCCAAACATGAGAAAATGATAAGTTTGTGATGTTGTAAACATGAATTAATTATAATAAAATCGTGAATTCGTGAAAGTTAAAATAATTGTGAAATCACGAAGATGAAATCGAGATTGTCCGCACAGCAATTAAATTTTACGTTGATATATGTCCTATAAAAAATAGGCTATGCATAATAAAATACATGTACTTGCATACTAGTATGCTAAAAAAATCAACAATGATATCTCATCCATTCATTCATTCATTCAGTCATTGAATCAATCAATCAACCAATCATTCATTCATTTATTTATTCATACATTCATTCATTCATTACTCATTTATTCATATATTTATTTATTTATTTATTTATTCAACCAATCATTCATTCATTTATTCATACATTCATTCATTCATTACTCATTTATTCATATATTTCTTATTTATTTATTTATTTGTTATTTATTTATTTATTTCATGAAGCAAAGATTTGCGTTTCTGTACACAAGTTTTGAATATAAATCTTATGAAGTTCCGTATTCCCCAATTTTGATTTTTTTCGCGGGGTCTCATTTATGACATAATATTGTGTAATAGCCACGTGCTGTATTGCCATAATCGAAGACAATACTGATTAAGCCAGATATTGATCCGGATATTGATCATAAACGCAGCAGGGTATATCGAGTGTCGGTTTTCAGTTAGCGTAGTTGAATGCCTTAACGGTATTTTTTACTGTCAATTTCTCATATAATTCATGTACGAAATAAGGGAATTAAATTGTGATCTTATAACCGAGTCTCTATGTGATTTTGTTCTAGATATTATAAAGACTCTAACCCGACATATTAAAATGAAACAGACATAGCTGCTGTATTCTTTCCAATGTTTTTGCAGCGTCGTGTAGTGGTTATCCTTTAATTTGGCGGAATTCGTCATTTAAACAAAACACAATTAAGATTTATCTTAAAGTAAACTTTGAAGTACCATGCCGCCAGGTCCAATTATTTTTAAGTTAACAAGCTAGAATCAAATGGATGTCACTGGGGTATATGTACATGTATTGTTGATAGATGATGTCAAATTATTCGAAATAATATTTCCTGAAAAATATCATCATCTCCCGAGTTTCCTCGTCTCCCATCAGCCGTGTTTCTGCATAATTCGGTGACTTGAACATTGTTCAGGACAGAAGAACATGACCGTGCTATGTTAATTAACATTTGTTACCTGGTTAAAATAAAACAATTTCTGTTTAAAAAAATAAAAATTGTCGTAGTTTGATTTAAAAACTCAAGTTCAGAACATACAAAATTATATATTGATAGTAAAATCACTTTTTAAATTGGACTTTCGAATTTTTACCGATGCTCCAAATATTCTTATACTAATAAAGTTTTATTTTAATTATGAAATCCGCAGATAATGTGAAAGGATCTTTATACTTCATTTATGTGTATAAGTAAGTATGAGTAAGTAATTCATTTATTTTAATGGGGATACGGTCAAAAGCCCCCCCCCCCCTCCCGGACGAAAGCCCCCCCCCATCTAAAAATGACAAGGTGAACAAAAGCCCCCCCCCCCTCGAAATTTACACGTAGGACAAAAGCCCCCCCCACCCATCTATCAAACAATCGTTATTGAGAATCTCGTCAGTTTAAATCTGGAACTTGATGTATTTTAACAAATAAATGCAATTGTTTTAAAAGATAATTTACATTAAGATTTAAATTTAAAGGTACAAAGTTCTAATTTGATTTCTTGTGTAATTCTTACTTATAATCCATTGATGATATGAATGTTTTATGTTTACTTTATTACATATTGTGCAGTACAAATGTAAATGAATATTTTCAGAGAATCGCTTTTCAAAGCTTATCATGGAAATAAAAGTGAAAGGCGCATACTTGTTTTGATTTATTTGAAGTATAACCCAAATTCCCGAAAACTAGGCGTGTAAAAGTAGATTAATTGTAATCATTCTGGTCTATAAACCTTAGGGAGGCTTTTGTTTGATGGACTGGGTGGGGGGGGGGGGGTTGTCCTATGTGTAAATTTAATGTTGGTCTTTTGTTTTACTCGCTTATTGTTGTTGTCACAAAAATTTGTGTAATTTATAAATATTTCTTAGCGCTTCTAAAACGTCTTTTATTATTATTATTATTATTATTATTATTATTATTATTATTATTATTATTATCATTATTATCATTATCATCTTCATCATCATTATATTATTATTGATATTTCCAACTTAATATTGCATTATTTTGGATCGAATAAAGGTCTTAGTATGCTGGTTTCTTCCGCATTATCACCAACCTTAATA